CAATCAGTATGGGAAATCTTCAGGCACAGCTCATCACTCGGCCAGTATAAACACTTGGGAAATGCCCTGTGAGTGTCAGAGCATCCATCTTAGTCAGCACCAGAGGATCCACAGGACACCAATAGAACTCATACCTACTCCACATGGCAAGCCTTAAGCCAGCCCACCCAGTACTAGACTCACCATTATCATTATCATGAGAACACAAATATACATAAGCTGTCAGGTACCACACCATCCTCAGAGGTCTCAGAAATGACAGTGACCATAAAGTTCAAAGTCATCCCTGGATCTAAATGTCACTTCTACCTTGACCAGCAAGGAAAATGCAACGCTCAGACTCTTCTTTAAGCAGTTTATTCAGGAACCTTGTACAATCTTCTGACTCCAGGGCAGCCCAGCCCACAGCTTAAAAGCCCTTGGGCAGTCAACCCCAGAATGCCATGCGGTGAAAAACAAAAACAGACAGGTCCACATACACGGAAGCAAGCCAGATTCTCAGCCTTAGCCAAATATGGAATTGTTTAATACAGAGAGCACTCACTATCGGGAAAGTGGAAGGCGGAAGCCAGCGCCATCTTTTAAGGCGTGGCACTTCGCAGCTCTCTACATCTAAACAGTAAGAAAATGTGGACACCATCCACACTGAGGTTCATCAACCTTGAATGTTCAATGTATTCTAGTATCTACAAAGAAGAAATTGAACAAGTAGTTCTTTTTTTCATTTGCGTTCACAGAGTCATTATATTTCAAATAGAACTATTCAAAATGATGAGAAACTTGAAAGAACTAAATGAAGTCAGACTTTTATTATTGCACATCCTACTCTTGAAGTGTTGCTTAGGAATAGTTCATGTTGACTCTGCTTATCCTAGAAAATACAACAGCAAAGTGTCTCTAAAGTAAATAGCATTTTCATGGAATTTCTGTTAATACTTGACTGTCTTAGCACATAGCTGAATTTTTTAATAAATTGCTAAAAAGTATACCCTTATCAGGCAGTACCAGATTTCAGTTCCATATTCCAAAGTATCAGCCTAGTAAAAACAGAAATCAATCTAGGTATCTTAATAATATTACAATAAATCAGCTAAGATGCAATAAAACTTAAAAGCTTTGTCTGAGAAAATTTCAGACTACTTACATGGAGCCTCACAGATTCTTAGGTGTGGTAAACTTTTGCTTTTATATTCATTCAACTTGAAACTCCTGGGTTTATTGGGGGGGGGGATTGGTTCTTTGTTTTGTTTTGGTTTTGTGATTTTGCTTTTTTGCTGTTGTTTTGATTCGTCGAGACAGGGTTTCTCTGTATAGCTTTAGAGCCTGTCCTGCAACTCACTCTTGAACTTACTAAGATCCACCGGCTCTGCCTCCAGTGCTAGGTTTAAATGACTGTGCCACCACCACCAGCTGAAAGCTCATTTTAATATTTAGCTTCAACACTTTGATTTTGGGAGTTTTTTGTTGTTGTTAAGGATACAGTGTTCTGCCTGCATGACAGAAGAGGGCACCAGATCTGACTACTGATAGTTGTGAGCCACCACGTGGTTGCTGGGAATTGAACTCAGGAAAGAACAGCTGGTACTCTTAACCACTGAGCCACCTCTCTAGCCCCCAACACTTTGTCTTTATATTTAACTTGAAAGTCCACGATATTTTGTTAAACAAGGCCACAACTTGTTTTCTAAAATCCACAACCTATAAATGGTGACTTGTCCTAAACTATCAGTAATGTTTAAATCAGATGATATTATTTTGTTAATCATGGTGCTAGGATATAAATTTCTTACTATTCTGAAGTTTCTCATCAGTAGTGTTTACATCAAACAATTTTATTTAATAATCATAGTGCTAAGATACAAATTAACTATTCTTTAGTTTCTCTTGGAATGGGACATGTTTGAATCTTCCAACACTGTTCTTTGGTATACCTGTGAGATGCCTTTTTGGAATTGAAAGTTTTAAATGTGGGATGTGGTGGCAAATACCTGTAATCCCAGCATTAGGAAAGCTGAGATAGAGTATTGCCAAGTTCAAGGCCAGCTTGGGTTATATACTGAGACCCTGCCTCAAACACTGTAAAGGTTGGAAATGTATCATATATGCATGAGTGCTTGCCTAGTGAGCACCACATAACCCAGGATTTGAGCCCCAAATGGGACAAAACAAAACTGAGCTACACATGTATGATACATGTTGTATGGTAGCCTAATTGTTCTAAATGTAACTATACATACATACATAAATACACACACACACACACACACCTCAAGGGTTTGCATTTGATAAATATAATCCCAGCACTGTGCAAGCAGAGAAGCAGGATCACAAACTCAAGGCCAGCATGGGATGGATATATATAGATAGAGAGGGGGAGGGAAGGGGGAGAAAGAGAGAGACTACCTAAAAAAAAATAAAATTTAAATATCACAACTAGCCTAGTTAGTGGCCTATAATCCCAGCACTTGGGAGATCAAGACAGGAGGATCAGAGACAGAAGGCTCATCCTCAGTTACTTGGCAAATTTGAGGCAAGGCTGAGCTGTGAGATCCTATCTCAAAAAAAGACCACAAAAAATAAGCAAAATCCAAACCTACATAACTACAAAACCCCACAAAAGACAGGTGCAATTAGTTTAATATATGCCCCTGTATTTACCCCTGTACACTCCATGTTGCCATTCGGACATACAAAACTTATGTATAGGCTACCTTTGAAACCTAATGTGCTGGTCACTTGCAGCATATCAGTTCATTGAAGCTACATTTCAGGTACTAACTGGACACATGTACCCACCTTACAAGACAAGCAGTTGATTGCTGGTCCTTTGTTCAGCTCCTCTGACCCACTTTGTTACATGACTCATCCTTTCCCTGCTTTTTCCTTAGGTGGCTACAGGAAAGATTAGTTTACATGGCTCAATGGGCTTTTGGACCTAAATCTACTTGAAAAATACATACGGCTTCAGAAATCTATGGTCCATTCCAGTAACAAAGCAGGGAACAAAAGAGTGAGTTTGTAGAATGCTGGGAACCCCAGATAAACATGGAGGGAGAATCATGTACATTTCATGGTAAGGACTTGATCTAGGCAATTATCAATGCCTAGATCAGGCTAGAACTTTGATTACGAGTAGGATACTTATCACAAAGTATCTCCTCACATATTGCTTAAACACTCCAAACAGGTGAGGAAATCAGGTATCACAAGAGACACATGGGCATTACACACTCCCAAGACAGAAGAGGAAGTATGTACACATGTAAAGCATGGGCACATTGAGTAAAATGTTAGGCATAGCAGATCTGGTAAGGAGTGCAGAGATACCCTTTACACTCTTTTTATTTGTGTGCCTTTCCTGGAAGTTCAACTTCAGAACAGGAAGACACAGACCTCCCACTGGCTCACTTACACAGAAGAAACTGAAGAGACTGAAAATCTCAGTGACAAAGAAGGAGAGAACAGGCTGACAGGTCTGTACTTGCAGTTGAGTTAGGAAAACAGGTGTAGACTTTTTCATCAGAACAAAGTTTAGCTCAGCTTAGCAGAGGGAATCACCTAAACAAGCAGTACCAGGATCTTTCCAGGTGATGAGGCCATTCATACACTTCTCTCTGAGGCACTGGTTTTCAACCTTCCTAACACTGTGACCCTTTTGTGTAGTTCCTCATTTGTGCTGACCCCCAACCATAAAATTATTTTGTTGCTAGTTCATAACTGTAATTTTCCTAATGTCATGAACTGTAATATAAATAGATGGATAGGGGATTGAGAACCACTGTCCTAAGGCTTGGTAAAAGACATTTGAGTTTTCTCCCAGGTAAAGGGAACAGAACCACATGTTCTAAGAGTCCCATAGAAAGAAAGCCACAGCAGGGGTGATCTAGATCTTAGACTCACTGCAGGGAGGAGACTGTCCTTGTCACTAACACTCCAAGAAGCAGCTGCACAATCACAAAACAATAAGCTATAATATGAATGAAGAAATACTTTATTAGGGTAAGCCTCTGATTTGGGGGTCACATAAATTGCCTCCTCAGACACAGAAAGAGACACATGTTGTAATCTCAAGTTAAAGCAAAACCACAAGATCACCTATGTAGGCCACATTTGGTTCCCTTAGCTTAGATACAGATCATTTCTTTAACCTTTGTTAGTATTTTAAACCTGGTTTGATCATAACCCTTAATAAATACATTTAACATGGTAGCCAGCTCTCATATTAGATACACAGCTGAGAAGTTTGACAAAAAAATACTTGCCTTAAGACATACTGCATTCTAACCTACTTTATTCTACTTCATTGCTTTGTAATGCCAGTGACCATCCACTAACTGGATTTCAACTAATGGGCTGAAACTCACAGTCTGAAATTAGCACTGTTTGTGATCTTTGCAAACAACTCCATATATTAAAAGACATGTGACTTGAACTCAGAAAGTTTTTGCTCTTGAGGATTCAGAAATAAACCTGACATCACATATTTACAAAAAGGCCAGATGGCAGGAATTATGTGTGAACAGGGAGCTCAAGGAGAAGCAACTGAGGCAAGGAAAGCTCAAGAAAGCGCCAACAGATCGCATACTTAAGACAACTCAACACTTTGTACAATGTCAAATGACCAGAGTACATGTGGTAATAAAACACACAGAAATGAGTTTTCCCTCACATCCAATAACTTACAGGATAGGACATTAACCCAAGGTGTGTTCCTAAAATGAGGGCTTCCTGTGGGCCACGCCCATTTTCAGTTGCTTTCAGCACATTAGCATCCAGAAAGTAAGCACAGATGTGCCCATGGATACCACAGGAGGACACCACACATGAGCCTTAAGATTACTCATGCTGCAACTGTCATGTCATGGGATACTCACAGCAGAGTTAGTTGCTCGTCCTTACACTTAAGGTTGTACAGGGAAAACCACCCACACACTAGGAGCTGTGAATTCTCTCACCAGTGAACTTTGCTTATGGCAGAGGGGCTCTGGGCATACTTTTTTTTTTTTTTTTTGTATGTGACTCTTGTGCTTGACCCACAGCCAAGCTTAACTGAAAGGGTTCTTAGGAGTCCTGGCTTACATGGCACATCTCAGTGTTGTGCCTCTTGTGATGTTCCATAAGGTTTGAGATCCATGCAAAAGCCTCCCCACATTCGCTACATGTGTAGGGCTTCCCCTGGGATGCATCACACTCATCAGAGGCAGGGCATCCTGCAGCAGAAGTTCCTGGGTCCTGCCTGGAATCATGGCCATCCACATGAAGCTCCTTCCCTGCAGCAAATGGCAGCCTGTAGCTGCTGGTGCTGGATGGACACTCGGGGTCCTCTTCCTCCTCATCATCTGGATGAGGCCTCTTTGTCCCAGTGCCTTGATGTGGGGTATCCTTGTCCTGGACTGACTGCTGGATAACTGATTGTCTCTGGGGACTGGCAGGATTTGAATCCTCATCCTCAGCTTCCAGAGCCTTCTGAGGTTGCTGTTCCTCCTCTTTGGCAGTATCTACTGAAGGAACATCCCCTGAAAGACTCTCCATCAGTGTCTCCCCCATGGAGACTTCCTTACACACATTTCCTTTGCTTTCCTGCTGCCTAGTGCTGTCTGAAACAAAGTCAAGATGTCAGTCCTACTTCCCAGGCCAAGACAGAAACTGACTTTAGCAGAAATCAAGAATATAAACTGTTAGGCTCACAGGACTGAGCATTGGGGGGGGGGGGGCATCAGATAAGAACAGTGACATGCACATCCTAACCCTCTCTACAACTCAGACATCACATAGTGCCTGAGTGCAGCATCTCAAGCCTCACAATCCCCATTATCTATTCCTGCCCCTTCCAATCTGCATGCCTGCTGAGCTCACTGCTGACCATCACTCCCAGGGTGTTTGGAGGTTCAGATGACCATGTGACTCTATCCTGGTCAGAAATTCCAATGGTGAGGAGGAGCCTTCTTCCTGCTGTGGTACATTCAGATATGAAGCAGCCTTTCTGACTGAGGTAACCTGGCCGTGGAGGGTGCAAGGTGCAAAGAACTATGAGGATTCAGGGGACATATCTGTCACCAGTAAGGACCAAAGGAGCCTTGGCAAATCATTCAGTTATACCCACGACCCTCAATGAGCTACCATAGTCTCTGGCTTGACCCTGGAGTCAACTGTGGCCACTGGAACAGAATACCATCTACATGAAACATGCAGAGGTATGGTATGTGCTTATCCTCTGGGATTCTCCCCATGAAACCTACCAGCATCTGTGAGAAAGCCAAAGACAGCCCTTTGGAGAGGTGACAAGAAAATGTCCACAGCCTCAACTCAGCTCCACTGAGAGCCAGTGTCATCCAGGAAGTGTGTAGGAGACCATTCAGACATCTGAGCCCTAGATAGGCCTCTGGATAATGGTGATTTTGTGTGTGGCCCTCACACAAAAAGAAGTAGAAGGACTACAGAGTTTAATTCAGTCAGTTGACAGAATACAAATGTGTAGTCTTTTGGGAGATGTTTTAGAGGTATTCATTATGCAGCAAGAAATAACGAAAAGGTATTTTGTCCCCACACAGTGGATAGGAAAATGAAGCCAAAGCTAGAGTCTCCGCTGAGGCTAACAGAAGTATGAGGAGTGCCATCACAAATTCTGTGTTCCCTTTATGACCCAACCAGGCCCCTGTCTATCACCACCTAACTCAATCTCACCTGAGAGGCTGCCTCCTGGCAGTTCTTCCACCACACAGGGTTCCTCTGGTTTCTCTGTGTCCAGCATGGAGGATGTACCAGCCTGGAAAAACTGACACCCTGAGTTTTAGAAAGAAAGAAAGCAAAGGAAGCACAAAGAAAGCTAAGAGGCTTCATGTCCTGTTGGGTCTCTGGGACCAACACTGCAACTACTTTTTTCTCTGCACAAGAGCAATTCCTGTCTGTCCCTCACCACCACCAAAGCTGACCTCTAGTCAGAGCCCCTAGAAAGCTGAGGTTTCTAATGAAGGCAGCAGAAGCAAAGATCTTATGTGGGGCTGGAGGCTGCCTATGACCAGGTAGGAAATGGGGAATGTCCACAGAGGAGGGCAAAGCTGAAGATAAAGCATAAAATGGGCTCAGTAGCCAAGCATTTATGAGATCTTGGATCAATCTCCAGTACCAATAAAACTAAAATTTAGAGTTAGAACTCAGAAAAGACCTCAGGAGTCTAGATAAGAGACTCACTACAAAGAACTTCAGTGAAAGATCATTCCCAGGCTCAGCTCTGAAGCAAGGTGGGGGTGCTAGAGGGTTGGAACCAGGAGGCCTTTCCAAATCCAGACACTTCAGTTCTCACAGGCCAAGGCTTCAAACAAAGCCCCAGGGCTTAGACAAGTGGGGAACTTAGCAAACAAATGCTAGTTCGAAGACTCTGAAAACATGCTCAGCTTCAAAAACTTAAATCACCCTTGGTGTCCCAACTACAGGTCCTGAGACAGGGTCAGAATCTTCCATGCTAACAGTTCTGGAAGAGGACGCAGGGTGGATCGTGAGCCAATGGGAGTTGGGTCTCACCCCACAGGAGCAGCTTGCTGTAACTGGCCAGACTATCCTCTATGGAGTCCAGGTGTTCACATTCTGACTGTAGAGGCTCCTGTGAAAATGATAATGGTTCCTGAAACAGCAGCTCTGACTTACCCCAAGTTACACTGAAGCAATGTCCTTCCTTAGCCTTGAGTTTCCACAAGGGCAACATTCTTAGCCACAACATTAAAGATGTTTGGGTCCATAATCCTTTGCTATGACAGAGTATTAATACTGAGAGAAGAACAACACTCAGAAGGGAAAGACCATGTGAGTGGCTGGGCAAAATCAGCCTCCCAGGGCTAGCAGTGGCTCCTTTACCCACCTTTGGCTCAGCTGTGGTAGAATTAGCCTCTTCATTCTTTTCTCCTGGATGTTCTTCATCCAGATGCACAGATTCCAGAGTAGGCCAGGCTGGAAGAAGGGGAGCTGAGGAGACAAGTTTTCAGTGGCTGTGTATCTCCAGAATACACATATCCCACTGCCTCCCACACACACCTCAGGACAAATATAGAAAGGCTTCCTCCTGCACATGTCACAGGTCCCAAAGCTTAATGAACACTGCATTTATTCCCAATTGACAAAGCACGGTGGACACAATAAAAAAACATGAAGACAGCTGGGTGGTGGTGGTGGTGCATGCCTTTAATCCCAGCAGTCAGGAGGCAAAGGCAGGAAGATCTCTTGAGTTTGAGGCCAGCCCTGTCTACAAAGTGAATGCCAGGGTGTCCAGGGCTACACAGAGAAACCCTGATTTGAAGAGAAAAAAAAAGATGTTGAAGTTAATCAGTGACCCTAGAAATGCAATTCAGATCACGAAGGAAGGACTCCTTTTTTGTGCCAACTAGATTGACAGAAAAGTTAAACAACACACAAGGCAAGTAGGCACCCTCCTACACTAGCATTAATGTATCACAAAGGTTTTGGATAATCACATGAATGTTAAAGTGTACATGCCCTCCATTCAGTGGTTGTTAGAATACCATGCCATGTACGCTAGAATACCCACAATAAGGCCATGATACTGTAGCCCATTTTTAGAAAGCAAATTGGAAAGGCTGAGTATATGGAATGCTGAGCAGCTGAGGCACCAAAACTTTGACCACAGCTGCCCTATTTAAGTAGCAAATGAGAGGGCACAAGTACACCATGGTCCTACAGACCTGTACACATGGGTGATGTGGAGAAAGACATGAAAGGACATTCTCCAGGATGGAATAAGGAGATAAACAAAATTGGGGGTAGTATTGAGATTTTAACTCATGCTGCTAATGGGCACCTCCTATGCTGGTATTGAATTATATCTACAATTAAATTATTTCTTGGTTGATAGCCATATGAAGCTGACAAAATTTGCAAGACAAATTGAGCACAAAAAATAACAACACATCTAGCATACACAATGATCTACAGAAACAAGCCCCAAGTACAGTAAACATATCATTGCCTTCTACCTGACCTCCCCCTGGCTTTCAGGCTGCTTCTCCCACATCCTCCCTTTCCCAACCACAGACTACTATCCATCTCCTCAATGAAGGCCAGCTGAGGCTAGAGAACTGCTGCTACTTACAAGTATCATGGCGTACAAGGATGTTCCTAGGTCTTAGGTTTCTGCTGGGACTCAACAACCCACGTGGTAGCAGCAGGGACTCAGGACACCTCTCATAGACTCCCTCGCTGAATGAAGATGATGACCCAACTGGGGAACATAACATTATCCCTGTGTATAATCGAGGCAATAGTGACTCCAATAAGTTGAGACACATGATAACAGCCACACAGCAAATCCACAATGGGCCTGGTATGAACCCAAGGTATGACCCATGCCCCTAGGCTCCCAGACACCATCACCACCCATCTCTCAGGCCCCACCCTTAGACATGGAGGAAACCTCCAGCTACCAATGCACCCAGAATATTTACCTATTTTTTAGGAGCCTGGTACCTGCCTTTGATTGCCCTCCATTTCTCTTCCTTTCTAACATCTGGAAAACAAATGTGAGGGCAGGAACCCAAGGCAGCTGTCCTAGTCCATGAGGCAAGCCTGATGGAGAAGCCACTGGGCAGAGAGGTGGGGTTCCAATCCCTGGTGACTGAGGAGCTCCCTTACCAGCTCGGGGATGGTTGTTTCTGTGCCCCTTAACACATGGTGTAACTACACTCTCAGGAAAGCCACGGCTGGGGTCTGAACTCTATGTTGCAGATTTCCAATCCTTCCAGGACCTCCTGCCCGTATCCTCTAAGGCATGCTTTCTTCTGGGGTGGCAGCCTCACCTGGCTCCTCCAGGATGTCAGAGAGACCCTCTACCAGGGAGGCAGCCTTCTTGCAGTTTTCAGGATACTGGGCTACCACCCAGGGACGAACCCTGTCTGGCAAGATGCCCAGGAACTGCTCCAGAACCAGGAGCTCCAGGATCTGCTCTTTAGAGCAGGCCTCGGGCCGCAGCCACTGGCGACATAGCTCATGAAGCCTGGCCAGAGTCTGGTGAGGCCCAGCTGCCTCCTGGTAGACAAACTCCCGAAAGCGCAAGCGGGAAAACTCAAGGTCAGCAGCAGATTTCTCAATGATGGTTTCTGTTTCCTTCTGCTGGCTAGGTTCTTCCTGGTGACTAGATTCATCCTGTTGTTTGGGTTGATCCTTTTGGCTAGACTCTTCCTGTTGGCTGGGTTCTTCCTGCTGGCTAGGCTCTTCCTGCTGACGAGGCTCTTCCTGATGGCTGGGTTCTTCCTGCTGGCTAGGCTCTTCCTGTAGGCTGGGTTCTTCCTGCTGGCTAGGCTCTTCCTGTTGTCTGGGCTTCTCTTGCTGAATAAAATCTATCTTTTGGATGGACATATCCTGCTGAATGGGCTCCTCCTGCTGGATGAATTCTTCCTTTAGAATGGACTTATCCTGCTGAATCAACTCTTCGGGCTGCTGGATGGAACCATCCTGATGGATGAGTTCTTGTTGGGAAGCATCCTGCTGGATGTGCTCCTCCTGATGGATGAGTTCTTGTTGGGAAGCATCCTGATGGATGTGCTCCTCCTGATGGATGAGTTCTTGTTGGGAAGCATCCTGATGGATGTGCTCCTCCTGGCAGTTGAGTTCCAGCTGAGTGGGCTTCTCCTGGTGGATGAGGTCTTCTTGTTGGATAGTTTCCTCCTGGAAGATAAGTTCCTCCTGCTGGATGAGTTCTTCTTGTTGGACAGGTTCCTCCTGGTGGATGAGTTCTTCCTGTTGGATAAATTTATCCTGCTGAATTGGCTTTTGCTGGATGAGTTCTTCCTGCTGGATAGGTTCCTCCTGGTAAATGAGCTCCTCCTGCTGGATGGGTTTGTCTTGTTGCATGGGCTCCTCCTGCTGCATGAGTTCATCTTGCTGCATTAATTCTTCCCACTGGCAAGGCCCATCTTGCTTCATAGGTTCTTCCTGCTGCATGGGTACATCCTCCTGGCCAGGTCCTTCCCACTGGCTGGGTTCTTGCTTCTCACTGAGTTCTTCCCTCTGGTTGGGAAGATTATCCTGCTGACTGGATTCTTCTCCCTGATTGGGATCATCCCTCTGACTGAGTTTTAGCAACTGGATGGGTTCTTCTTCCTGGATGGATTTATCCTGCTGGCCAGGTTCCTGTTGCTTAATGAGTACTTCCTCCTGGTTGGATTCCTCCTGCTGGCCAGGCTTTTCCCATTGGAATCTATCTTCTGACTGCAAAGTAGGTGGTTCTGGGTTGGGTGGGGAGCTTCTAGGGGAGACCAGTGCCCTCTCCAATGGCAGCATTTCCCAGGCTTCCACAGAAATGCAACTGTGTCTAGCCAAGAACTCAGCAGAGATGGGAAGGATAACAAGGTACCCAGAAGAGGTCAGTATTACCAGAACCTAAGGAAAAGCAGAGGACATTAACAAAACAGATGCCCACATAGTGAGACCCCATCCATGGAACACTCAGGCACAGGAGAATAAAAGAGGGTTTCTGAATACAACCATGTACCCACAATACCCACGTCTCATGCAGAATTATTTCTAAGCAATCTGCTCTCCACTGTTAATAGAATTCTAGACTTTTACCTATATACATTAAAACTAAAAAATCAGGAAGGGAAACTTTATATAAGATGGTAAATAATAGGGGATTTTTTAAGTCATAGATAAGATGAATATGAAAAATTTCAGAACAATTTCAATTATAAACCTGGATGAATATACCATATAATATCAGTAAATTCATTCTTACTATGTATATTGTATATATGATATAGGTCACATCACAATTGGATTTATCCCCAAAATACAATGTCAATTTATCATCTAAGATGTATTATTGGGACTTTAGTTCCCCAAAACAAGAAAGACCTAGGTGGAGCATTGTTCTTCCCATTAAAACAACTAAAACTCAGGACTGGAGAGAAGGCTCAGTATTTAAGAGCATTTGTTGCTCCTGTACAGTACCCAGATTGGACTCCCAGCACCTACACAGTGACTCACAACCATCCTTTATCACAGTTTCAGGGCATCTGATGCCCTCTCCTGACCTGAGGGCACCAGGCATGCATGTGCCACATACATGAAGACAAAACACTGCCATACATAAAATAAATAAACCTAAAAATACCACCCAAACCCAGTACTAGCAAAGTCCTTGGCAAAACCATAAAAAAAAAAAAAAAAAAACAGTTTTTCTTCTAAAACAAATTTGAGTAAATAAAAAAAAAAAATCTGTCTGTGGCCACAGCTAACACCACCACTGTCTCCCTACCTAATCCATGTACCTACAGTACATTTCTCACTTCTTACAGGGCTGGACTCTTCAATCTCTTCAATCTCTCAAGGTCCTCATTTCCTGCATGTCCTCTTACACACACCTCAATACTACTTTATATCTGCACTGCCTGTCTCCCACATTGAAATCTGAGCCCCAGGAGAACAGTTATTTATAGACAGGTCACTATGGGCCCAACACCTTTGGCTTCTGTATTTGTTCACTATACCTTTTGTAAAATGCATTTCTTGTTGCTGGGGGCTCATGTCATCTTCAGATTGTCAGAAACTGTCACCTTCACAAGCCTCTAAGGGTAGAGACAAAAAGCAAACAAACCCAAGGAGTAGGCAGGGAAACCAATCACAGACTGGGTGAGTGCTAGGGGTCAGGGTTCTACCTGTAAACTGACACCGCTGCTCCATCCTTCTTGCTCCAGATCCCTACCTAGAGCCTCTGACCGGTCCTCCCCACATCTGCTTCACCACAGTGGTAATCACATTACCATCACCTCTGCTTCTTTTAGGGCAGCCCATCAGCCCTCAGCTAACTATTTGGGACCCATTTCCCCCACCTGGCCTGCTCTGAACACAGAAGAGGTATGGGGCCCTGCAACAAAAGGGATCAAGTAAAAGTAAGATAAACCGACAGCCTAATCAGTGGAGGACCCTGCCAACCCCTGGGAATAGGCAAGAACTATCTGTCCCCATTGCCTTTGCCTGAAAACAAGACTCCTATGGCAACAAGAGGCAACAGCCTCACCTGGCAGACAGCCTCAATAGTCAGGACCAGGAGGATAAGGCCATCTTGGGGATCTCAAGAGACTTAATCCTAAGCATACTTTCACCTGACCCTAGACCGGGTTACACTGCTACAAGGACTTATTATTCTGGGCATGAAATGCTGAAACTGAGAAAAAAGAAAACTAGTGGATGGATGGCTGAGCTAGGGGAATCCCAAGGCTGACTTTAAGCACCTAAGGAATCCTCATTGCAGGCTCTTGCCTTAGCTGAAAAGAAATCCTTCTCAGGCCCTGTCAACAAAATACCATCTTTTCTAACCACTACGATCTGATGCTAATCCATGAACACTAATCTCACAGGGACAGCAGGAACTAGTCACAAGGTACAAGTGTACCCTTAAAAGTGTGCAAAAGAATACATAAGGGATCATTATTAAGAGTTGCTTTCTGTGGCCCCTGCCAAGAATATAGTCTATATATGTTCATATAAGGTCACACAGAGCCAAACAAATGTCCTAAGCAAACCAGCCTGGGTTTCAAAAAAAAAAAAAAAAAAATCTCAGGACCATAGACCCAAACATGAGGAGAAAGAAGGGCTCCCTGAAATACAGAGCAGGAAAGGGAACTTCCATAGGACCTTACTAGAATATGGAAGGATGATCTTACAACATTCAATGAATGTGGCCTCCAAAAAGCAATTAAAACCAATGTAAGAGCGACCGGTCTAAGAGGAGAGGATTGGGCATGGAAGTGATGGGCAAGGAAGGGAGAGGCAAGGAAAGGGGACAAAACACTAACGGGTAGACTTCTGGACAGGAGACAAGAAGTATTTCTGTGACCTTGGAATTGTTCTCTGAAAAGCCAACCCTCTGCCCCTTCACAGGTAGCACTAGGAAAATAGTGTTCTCTATTCCTCTCGAAACCCTCCAAGTCAGGACAGCACCTAAGAGGCACCTCTTTACTGCGAATGGGGTCCCTAGACAGAGGGCCAAAAGGACCCTCCGCCCCCTTAACAAAGAGGACCCCTGCACTGTAAAGTCCCTAGCTACCCCTCCGTCCAGCGGACTCTCTCCCAGAGCCCTCCCCTGCACACACACTTTGCCATACTCCTCCTGCCCTGCCTCTCAGGAGGACACAAAAACGGGCGCCCAAGCCCTTCCCTGGCCTTTATACAGTCATCTTACCCCTCCGTGAACTTCCCACCCCCATCAGAACCTGCACCCACTCTCTCCTAATCCCCTGCTCTCTTCCTCGGCTGCAGTCTCCCTCCCTGAAGGGTCGTGTGGACTCTACCCCAATCTACATCTAAGAATCAGTGGTACTGCGCCCTCTGTCCGCCACCTCTGTCACACCCCAAAAGTCCAGCCCATCCCACGTGTCCCCCAGGCGGCCCTTCCTGACACAACACTAGCGTATTGCATTCCAGAGCCACAGCCCCACACGTGGCACTCCCAAAGCCACACATCAGAACCACACCCCCGATGCTGCTCCATCCCAGGCCACACTCACACTGCCAGTCCCACAAAGCACCTAGCGACATTACCTTCGCCTACAGCGTTCCGGGGCCACACTCCCATCCAAAGCCTTAAGGCCTCCTTCTCAGCTCCACACGTGGGAGCCACCAGTCTTACCACCCCAGCCCCAAATTCAAGCACCACAGCTCGAGGCCACATCCCCAAGCAAGGGCCTTGGCTCTTCAGTCCCCTCTAGGACACAGCACCTGGGACCACACTCCCAATGTGAGACCCCCCAAGGTCGTTCCTGGCCCAGCCGACAAAAGACAGGCATCCCTGCGCCCGATCCTCTACACCAGCCGAATGCCTACCGCCCCCGTAGGAGAGCGCCGGGCCGCCCGACCCACCTGCTGCGCAGCGCTGCCCCACGGGCTCCCGCAGTCTCGAACACCGAACGGCGATGACGACCCACTGCGGCACGCGTGAGCGTTCTACAGCGCCGGAAACCGCGACCCCCAATATGCAGCCGGGTCATTCGCCAGACCTGGGAGGGGCGAAGCTGCTGGACAGCATCGATAGTCAATCAGAGGGAAGGCTGGCTATGTTTGCGCCACGTGCGCTTACGTCACTTCCGATGCCATGACAACGGAGTAAACGGAAAACTAAAAAAGAAAAAGAGCCTAGGACCACCAGAACCTGAGAGGCGGAGACAAAGATCGGAAAATACAGGCTTAAGAAACAGAAACACAAGACAGAGGCTAGAAGTCCAGAGATGATACACAGAAACTTAGATGAGACCTACAGACACAAAAATGGAGACCAAGCACAAATGGAGACTCGAGATACTGAACAGTCAAGAGACAAACAAGTACACAGACCCAGTACTGGCAGACGGAGCTAAATACCTACTGTAAGAGAAACTCCCTGGGCAGAGATTCAGGGATGGAGAAACTGGCGCGAAGGCACGGAGGTCGGAGACACAAACCGAATTCAAACACCTTGCCAAATCCTTGATTATCTGGATTGATTTTTTTTAATGTGCAGCTTAACAGCGTATCACAGAGTAGGTTTCATTCCTTATTTAGACATAAAAACACTTTTTGTTCCATTCTGGATACCACAATCCAAACTGTTTCACTCCTCCATTTTAAAAATTACATCCTCGACCACCTGCTACCCCTGATGTGTGGTTCCTCGGTGCATATTTGTCCCTAGAGATTTCATATAAATGTAAACCTATAGTGCAAGGCCTTTTGACATACTCTTTCACTTTGAGATCCATTAATATGTGTGAATAGTTTGTTCCTCGTTAATTGCTTAGAATTCAAAAAATATTCCAAGTTTAAACATTTACCAGTTGGGCTTTAGGCTTTTTTTTTTCCCTCCAAACTTCTGATATTTTTTAAACACTATAAAATTCATGTTCAGGTTTTTGTGTGAACATTATTCACTTTTGAATGAAGATAGATGCCTACAGTGCAGTTGTTATGTCATAAGGTACACATAAGCTTAATGTTAAAAACTACACCAATGAAAAACTGCCATACCTTTTCTAGAGCTTTGCAAGTATATACTCCCACCAGCAGTGTATAAATATGAATCCGTTTTTCTACAATCTTGCCAGCATTTGGTGGTTATCAGCCGTTTAGCTGTTCTAAATATGCTGATAACACTGTAGTTTAGTTTCTTTCCATTTCCCTACTAGCCAATAATATTGAGCATGTATATTTTCAAGGTGATTTGCCATCTATGTGTCCTCTTAAGTATCTGTTCTTAAGTACCAATTTTCTAGTTTTTAAATGAATGTTGAGTTTCAAGAGATGTTATG